CCAAGAACTACACCACAGACCCCACCCACACAACAAACACCAACCATATCTCCAACCACAAAAAAAAAAAAAAAAAAACAAACAAACAAACAAAAGAAAGCCAACAAAAAAACAAGAAGTTCCTCCAACCAAAAAAAGAAAGCTCCAAAATATCCAATCAACTCCCAAAACAAAAACTAAGCCATCAAAAGGGAAAAAAGGAATAGTCCCTGCAAAGAGAGTCCAACAGTTTAATTACTGTTCCAACATCGGAACAATAATCAAACTATTAAAGGGGGTCAAATTCACAAAAGCCCAACAGACAGAGCTGGAAAAAATCCCTTTTTGGCCTATTATAAATGTTCTCTCCTCAACACAACTGAAGGCCTCTTGGTGCAGATGCTGCAATTCCATTGTAGCAGAAATGACAACACTTTACAACAAAAGAAAAAGAGCATTTATACTTGGCAAAAAGGAAATGAAACTCAGAAACAGTGATGTCAGGCTCATTTTTGGTATCGACTGTGGAGAAAACAACATCACTACCAAATCCTATACAAGACCAAAGGATTTTAAGCTTGCATTTTACAAACGAAGATGCAAATCAGTAAAGAGATTGGATGGTAAGTCATTAACAAAAATGTTTCAACAAACAAAAAAAGGAAAATTAACCAATGATCATCAAGATCTTGCAAGGGTCATCACCTTTTACTTGTGCTTGAAACTTCTCATGCCTACAATAGGCCATACACTCAGTTGGAGTTTCTTCAACTATGTTGACAATCTCAACAACATCAAGAAGCACAATTGGGTTGAGGTAATAAAAGACACATTGATGAATTCAATGGCAAATGCAAACAACAACCCAAGGCATGTCACTGGATGCGTCATGTTACTTTTGGTAAACACACTACTCAACTACTTCACACAAAAATATCAAACATCCACCTATTTTGAACTATCTAACATATTTCAATTTTTTTTTTACAGTACTGGTGCTGTGAGCACAGTAAACTCCTTCGACCATCCAACAAAAAAGGCTTCCCAAGGTTTATAAAGTGAAACCTTGGCAAAATGTACTCCAAGTGGAAGCGCATCAGCCTTGCTAACTTTGAAAAGGTATTTAAACTCTTCTATACTCTCATAGCACATATCTATTCAACACTCCTTTCACAGTCTTTATAGTAAAAATCATGTTATGAAACTGTAAAATTATTCAGTTTCAAACAACATATATTCAACACTTAACTCACATTACTCATAGTACAAATCATATTATGAAATTGTAAAAGTTTACAATTTCAAAGCACACACCTATTTAACATTACTCATGTTACGAAACTGTAAAAGTTTACAGTTTAAACGTACAAATCTATTTAACATCACTGATGTTATGAAACTGTAAAAATTTTCAGTTTCAAACAACATATTTTCAACACGTAACTCACATTACTCACAATACAACTCATGTTATGAAACTAACCAATTTTACAGTATTAATGATATATGCCACATTGTTCTAATGCAGGTTGACCAAAGTGTTTTAACCCTAACTGAACAAGAAATACAGTTATTGCATATCAATCAAAGCACACATTAACAGACTCTTCAATAAAGAAACAAGACCACAAAAAGGACAATAAGCGGAAAAAAAATAAACAAAAGCAACAAAAGAAAAAAAAAAGACTTATAGATAGTGATGAGGATGACTTTCTCGAAAAAGAACACCAATCATAATCAGAATCAGAACAAGAAGAACAACAAAACAAAAAAAAAAAAAAAAAAAGAGAAAAAAAAGCAAGAACCACAAAAAAAAAAAAAAAAAAAAAAAAAAAAAAGAGAAAAGAAAGCAAGAACCACAAGAAGAACCAAAAAGTGATGAACAAGAAGAAGAGAGTGATAATGAAAAAAAACAAGTGACTGAAGAAGAAGAAGAAGAAGAAGAAGCTGATGAACAACAAGACAATGATGATGAAGAAGAAAAATGTGATCAACAAGAAGACACTGATAAAGAAAAAGGCTAACAACAAGAACAATAACAACAACAAACAAACTAACAACAAGAAGTCAATGAACAAGAACTGACAGACTAACAAAAACAACAACATGAAAAAAAAGAACAAGCAAAACAACAAGAAGAACAAATGACAAAACAACAAGCCACAACCAGCCACTCGCCATTTCATGCCACAAAACAAACAAGGTTTGGCATAGCCTATCCAAAAAAGACCAAGACCGAATTCAACTCATCAACATCACACAATCAAGTGCTTGTGTTTGGTCTGGCAGAGGAGATGAAAATTGCATATACTTTTCAGATATATGTAGATTGCCCAACAGGGAAGTCTTATATGGGAATGTAGGTCTCCAACTGCATAATTTTACAGTTTGTTCATATTCAATAACCTATTCCATAAACCTAACACATTCTCATATATAACATGTTTCAAGTCATTGATGCCTTCTCAGAAATAAAATTGGCACTCCAACCATCAATTGAAGAATTTGAGAAACATGATATAGCCTTTGCAAGAAATCCATACGCAGGAAGATCTTACGTTTTCTCAACACTCATCAATGTAAGCAAAACTTAACATACCTTTCAATATTATTCAAACTGCAAAATTTTCTACTTTCTTAACATGTCTTACTACGTAGTTTTATAACAAATTTCAAACATATATATAAATTACAGACTCCACTACAAAACCAAGATCAAGCACTGAGAGAAAAAATGATAGACAGCCATTTTTCACAAGTAATGAAAAACAGATATATCCATTTCCCAATCAACCACGACAACTATTGGACAATTGTGGTCTTTGACAATGCTGATGCGATATAGAGGCACTATGACTCTTTGAGGCCAACAAAAGATTGCCACAACAAACACTTTGAAATTACAAAGGAAATTGTAAGTTAGATAAAATTTCCTACTTAGTTCCATACCTTTCAAAACATCTCAACACATCACTATAACTAACAAAAACACCTACTAACTATTTTGTAGCAACAACATCAACTGAGATAGAATAAAGCATTATTCAGCAATCAAGAAAACATGTTATCATCTCAAGAGTGCGAGATAGTAATTGCATCAATTGAGGAATGTCCACAACAAACCCCACACTCGTAAGATACAAAATCAATAAACTAATGTTCCAATATGCTAAATTTTACATTTTTACCTAACTAATTAATTTCATCTAAAACTTTGCAGGAATGATTGTGCAATCGCCGTCTACAATGTTATCAACCAATATATCAACTGGAAACCTGTGCAGAAATCACTTCGACCAACTGAGTGGGTCAAATTTCGAGCATAAATCATCAGTCAATTCCTTAATGATAAGAACCGATCTTGGAAACTCGAGTACTACCAAATGTTGACAAAACATACCAAACCATAGAAACAATGAACAAACTTCTTGACAATACAAATATTCAAGTGAACATATTTTTGTACTTTTTTTTTTTTTAACATGTGACATGTGACAAGTACTTTATATGCTTTTGGGAATTGATCTTTTTGTGGTTATTATGGTAAAAATGATTGTTGTCATTGATGTTGTTGTTGCTCTTCTTCTTGTTATTATTATTGTTGTTGTTCTTCTTGTACTTATTATACTTGTTTGTGTTCTTCTACTTATTATTGTCGTCACATTTGTGGTTGCATATATTTTCATACAATAAAAGCTGTTTCTAATAATTTTTTAAACTGCAAAAATATGCAGTTTCATCAGGTTGTTTCTAATAATTCTTAAAATTGCAAAATTATGCAGTTTTATCAGGTTGTTTTTCATAATTATTAAAACTGTAAAATAATGCAGTTTCATTACTCAAACAAAAAATTATGCTACACAATTATGCATCCAATTTCATGACTCAACAAATAGATGAATTGCATTTCAAAATTGAAAATAAAACTGCAAAATTTTACAGTTTTGTCACTACGAAATATGAAATAAATATATCATGTAGTAAAACTACATTTTAATATTATACAGTTTCAATAAGAAATTCAACAACCTTCTCTGCATTCCATAAAAATAAAACCAACCAAATCCACACAAAAAAAAAAAAAAAAAAAAACATCAACAAAAAAAACAAAATAAAACAAAACTATTATAAAACAACTTTAATAACTAAAGAACACATCAAAAAAGAAAAAACAATGTAACCAACTTTATTCATTACTTCCATAATACCAAGTATCACATTTTTTATTATCATAATTCCTCAAATTCAAATACAAATCCAAAAGAATAGACTATAGCCTCAAATAGCAACCTTGCACGTCTTGTTATTGTGATTCCCATATTTCAAGCACCTCCCACACTTGATTTGCTTCACATTCTCATCCCTAGAAGGTATTATCTTCTTCTTGTTTCGCTCGGGCTACTTCTTCGTTATAGGAGGTTTGATAATCAAACTACCGGCACCATCAAAGTCAAATCTCTCACTTGAAGACACTGGATAAACAGATTCCTTGTATGACTCTCTAAAACAATCTACATGAAAGAAGGATCAATGAAATCATACACATCTCTACCATTACTACGCAAAGCATGCACGTCATGACAACAATAAAAACCATTCAATTACCATTCATGGCAAGAACAAATCCGTTTACCAATATCGACATAAAAAGAAATAGAAGAATGAATCTCAAGCACAGTATCACTAGCAACAATCACATCCCAAGGCTTAGCTAGCTTTAAAGAGTCCACCAACTTCTTTTTCATAACTGGATACAATTTCGTTGTCCATCTTTTAGATTCAACTCTTCTATTAAACAGTTGAGTCATGATTTGAACCCTAATCATATCAACTATACAAGTAATAAGCAACTCACGGGCCCTACCAATCCAATTATTGTAAGACTCGGCAGCATTAGATGACATCTCACCATATCGTTTCCCTCTAAAAAATGCATTGGCCCACTTATCATTTTGAAAACCATCCAACATACTATCAACTCTACCATTCCCAGCAATACGCCTCAATTTCTCCATATAATGTTAGAAAGAAGCAACATTTGGCGCATAAGTACATTTAACTAATATTTTCATCAAAGTCAGCTTATAGTTAGTACTAAGTCCCACCAATTTGTCAATCAAATTTCTCTTCAAATGATTCAAGCAATATGCATGATGTGCATTGGGAAAAATCACTGAAAGAGCGTCCAGCAATCCATGTTGACGGTCAGACACAAAGGTCAATCTCTGGCCTGAACTAACAGCCTTTAACAACTGACTTAAGAACCACATCCAATTATCTTGATTTTCAGTGTCAACAATTGCAAAAGCCAAAGGAAACAGGCCTGCAAACAAAATAACATGAAACTGCAAAAATTAGCAGACTCACAATACAATAACACACTGACAAACCAAAACTATACTAACTGCAAATAAATACATACCTTGATTACCATCCTTTGATATTGCTGCAAGAAAATGTCCCTTGTAACGCTCCTTCAAGAATGTACCATCAACAAACAACAACGGACGACAAAATTGAAAGCCATACAAACATCCATGAAATGCCACAAACAACCTCCTAGCAGACTCACAATACAATAACACACTGACAAACCAAAACTATACTAACTGCAAATAAATACATACCTTGATTGCCATCCTTTGATATTGCTGCAAGCAAATGTCCCTTGTAACGCTCCTTCAAGAATGTACCATCAACAAACAACAACGGACGACAAAATTGAAAGTCATACAAACATTCATGAAATTCCACAAACAACCTTCGAAAACCCCTACTACTTTCATCCACATCTAATTCAAACACACTTCTCGGATTCGTTCTCATACTCGTCTCAAGGTACCATTGAAGTTGGTCAAAAGAAGTTGCAAAATCACCAAACAACCCACCTCTTGCCTTATGAACTCCTAACCATGCAACCTGATAAGAAACATCTATACAATATCATTTCTTCAATTTTTTTTTAACTTCAATAGAACTAGTCATGGATTATCACTAATATCATTTGGACAATATCAAACACAAGTCTAGAACCAACCATTTTGCTACAAGATCTACGAGCAACAATCCCACAATTATGCACATTATCCAACTTCATAATAAAAAAAATACCAGAATTCATCAACACCCTTCCATGCACAAACCATTTACAACCCGTAGACGAGTTCATCATACATTCAACAGTTACTCTTGTTGCATTGTTCTTTAAATAATTCACTGCAAAATCACACTCAACTGCATACTTAGCCAATGCAATGCGGAACCCCGGCACTCCACCTTCAAATTCTTGACCAACACTATGTATAATCCCCTTCTAACTAGCAGACAACAAAATTCTCTCTGGTTCTAGATAAAAACTAGGCAACAAACTACCAAAATCATCACAATCGTTAACCAAAGAACTCTCACAAATTACAGAATTAATCCTAGAAGAATTATTATCAACCTCCACAATTCTCTTATCACCCACAACAACATCAACAACATGAGAACCACTACAATCTACCATTGACAGTATATTCTCCAAATCATCATCGCATTCAACAATACATTTAGAATATCCAAGAATAGAGAAAAATAAACAAAAGTTATCAACACTCAACTCCTTGAACTTCACAGATATTTTTCAACAACTTCATGATAACTATATCCCTCACTAATCTTAATAGCAGCACAAGATTTACTGTATTTGCACATTAACATGAATCACCCCTCCATACTACAAAATCACAAACCAGCAAACAATTGTTCACAAATTCCAAATTACAAAATTATGTAGTTACAACATATCAGTACCAACACTGCACAATTCACAATTCCAAACTGTAAAATTATACAGTTACAACATATCAGTATCAAAATATCAGAATTCATAATTCCAAACTACAACTTCAAAACACATTACACTACATAACAAACAAAATCAACAAAATCAAAATCACTACACTATATCACATACAAAAATCACAAAATAAGTATCAAACAAACAAAATTTATCACAGAACAAAGAACTATAACAACATTGCTAAACACAAACCAGATATCACGCAAATTTGCTTATCTATATATGCATACATATATGTATTGACAGATACAGACAGAGTGAGACACAGACAACACACACACACACACAAAGAGAGAGAGAGAGAGAGAGAGAATGTACGCAAAAATCGTCTATACACAAAGATTTAGATCGCATAACCAGATCCACCTCACAACACAATGAGATTGACCACACAGCACAAAGAGATTGCCATAACGAAGAGAAATCGAGATCGCAGAGGCAAATATTTGATTTTTCACGTATATATAGATCTCAAAACAAAGGGTAATACAGTCATTTAAAAACTAAGAAAATAAAAAATGGGACCTCTGGGTACAAAACTTAAAAAACTGTAGACCTATTAGTCTATTAAAAATATATCGGGATTAGAAGGGAAATAGATCCCCTACATAAGACTACATAGTAATTTTTCCTTCTTTTTTTTTTTTACCGTATGAGATAATTTATAAATATGAGAAGAATTACATTATTTTTTTTTTTTTTTTTTTTTTTTTGCAGAAAAATAAACGATAGATATATTATATGTACAAATTATTTATGAGCGATACAAAATAAAAGAAAAATTATACTAAAGTATTTTAATTAAGATTAATGAGATGTTTGGTTATGTTTCATGGGGTGGTATTTAATTATGTATGACTTATATTTTTTTGATTATGACTAAAAAAAGTATGAAATTATGTAATATTCTTATTTTAAAATGAATAATTTTATATATATCAAAATGAAACGAAATATTGCTGTCATTAAATTAAAGGGGAATTTTTTTAAGGTCCTTGATATTAAGATTTTATAAGATAAAGGATATACAATATTTTTATAGTAATTAAGATCTCTCAATATTTTAACAAAGAAAATTCAACTCAAAAAAATTTTGCTCGACTCAGACAAATTTGGCTCCGACTCAGAAAATTATCAATTTTCACAGAGAAATTTCTCTAAGTCGAAGCCAAATTTCTTTGAGTCAGGCAACATTTTTATGGGTTGAGTTTTCTCTGTGAAAATGTTGAGGGATCTTAGCTAATAAAAAAAACATCTTGGACCTCTCCTACTACACAAAATTGGAGAGGGATATTTCACTAATTTTTCCTAAATTAAATAGATAACATTTATTTAATGAATAATTTTTATTTCAAAATAAAATAAAATATTACAAAAATTTATATCATTAAATTAAATAGATATAAATTATTGATGATGGTAGAGAAATTGCATCACTATAGGTCAAGTATATTCCAATTAGGTTGGCACCCTGCTAGTCTACCAATCATTTGCATTATACTCTACCCCAATAATCTAATAGATACATTATGAAATGAAATAGTAAAAAAAAAATTGTTAATCAATTATCGAAGGAGGCAGACAATTCATTTGCGTTGTCAAAGGATATATCATCTAAATTGTTTTGCATATCTCATTTTCACTATAATTTTGTTTTATTGTAAGCGCATGCATATGATCTCTCTTAATATCATCAGTGCCACAATCATTTGGGATGAAAGTCTGCTGTGATAATCACTCAACACTCGTCTACCTACATTAAAAACTGTTTCAGAATGACCTTTATAATAAAATAAATCTTAAAATTTTAATTTTGTTAACTTAAACTTTAATATTTTGATTTGTTTTAATTTAAACTATTTGTTTATTTTTTATTAAGTAAAACTAACAAAATATATATATATATATATATAAATATATATATATATATATATATTAGACATTTTTCAAATTAAAAATAAATTAAAAAATTAAAAATACATGACTTTTTTTTAAAAGGTCAAACTCAAGAAATTGTTTTTGTAACTTTTTTCAAAATTAGAAAAATATTTGTTTTTCTTTCTCTCTCTTTCTTAAAAATAAAAATGAAAATAAAAAATAAACAAACGGAGACTATGAACTTCTATTGCACCACCAATAGTTTACTCAATTTTATATCACTCAATTATTTACCAAATTACTCACCTGTTGTGTGGGATTATAAGTCTCACTTTGGTTTTAAAATATAGTAGATCAAACACATATATCACTTATATTGCACGAATACACATCTGTACTATCTATGAAGTTTTAATGAGAAAGTTTCTAAAACCTCGAAGCTTTTATCTAAAATTGTTAATATTTTTTATTTTAAAATTATTTTTAAGAAAATACTATTGGCTATTACTTACTTAAAATTAATTATTATACCACAATTTGTAAAATTTAAAAAGGAAATATAAACTTTCTATTTTATGCCCTTTGTTACCTAACTTTCTTCCATTTCACACTACAAGAAAAGAGCCCAAATAATACGGAACTTTTTGCGACGGTATAGGTACTGTCGCAAAAAATGGTCTTTTGCGACGGCGTTTTCATACCGTCTCAAAAAATAGTCTTTTGCGACGGTAGTGACCCCGTCGCTAATGATATATCACAAAAAAAACATAAAACATCTGCGACGCCTGACGTATCGTCGCAAATTTTTTTTTTTTTTTAGACCGGAAAATTTACTATCGCAAAAGTCTTGTTAAAACGACGTCGTTTTAACTGTTAGGATTCATCATTTGCGACGGTTTAAGTACGCCGTCGCAAAAAGTAATGAAAATTTTCCTATCCCACTCATTTTAGCCTATTTGTGGTCATGTGTTTTCCCAAAATCCCCAAACCTTTCTGAACCAACCCAAAATCCCTAAAATCTTAAAAACCAAAATCCCCAAAACCATTTTGAAGCAAAATCCCTAAAGCCCTTGAGCCAAAATTCAACGACGGTGACGGACGACGACGGTGATCGACGACGCTAGCAGCGAGGGAGCAGCGGGTGACGACGGTCATCAACGACGACGACGAGCAACAGTGAGTGACGACTGTATGCGAATGACGATTGTATCCAGGTATCAAGTTTTAGCACCTCTGCCCCGAAGTTTGGTAGGGAGCAGAGTTCTGATTTTGAAAGTCCTATTGGCTATGATGAGAAGGATTATATCCGCTGGAGGAATTGCTTGCAGCGAGAATTCACAATAAACGGGTTGCGAAAATTTTACCCTTTCAACTACAAAATTTACGCTATTATTTTGAGAATTTTCTCACTGTGTTTGTTTTCACCTTTTTTTTTTTATAACAAAAAAATGATATCCCTGTTTCAAAAACATTTGGGATTTATTTCTTTCTTTTTAATTATTAAAAAAATTTCCTCTTTTCCCCCCCCCTAGTTTGATGCTTGATCCATATGCAAATTTAGTTTATGACTACATGGGAGGACTGGAAGATATTAAAAAAGCTAAAGTGTGATGTTATCTCTAACAGATATTAAATTGCCTTCCCTTGCTTCTGTGTGTACTAGTGTGCTCACATCATTTCCTTTTGTCTTAGGTGCGAGCTACAATTTGTGCAAGTCATTCATTTCTAGAGGATTGTTGTGAGTTCTTGTTAACAAATTTTTATCTCTCTAAAATATCCTAAAACACATATTTCTGTTGTTGCTGGTAGAATTCTCTTTGATGTGATAAAACTCGAACATGTCTGCCTCAAATACCCATTAAAGCACCAACTCGAACTTATCGATTGTCAATTATACAAGCACACAAATGCATGATGCGTGTATCATTATTGCCTTCATCATAGTTGTCATCATCACAGTCATCATATACTCATAGTCTTCCTTTTCATTACCCTCATCATCTTCTTCTTCTTGTACTGTTATTTTAGAATATGGTTTACTCTATTTTGCAGCTCGAATACTACGTGCAATTAGAATTGCTGCCCGTTTAGGATTCCGCTTTACAAGGGAAACATCTTATAGTATAAAAATTTATCCTGTTCAGTTCTAAGACTTGATAAGGTATATTAAAAGCTCTTCTTACTCATTTACACTTTTTATTTACAAAAGAAAATGTTCTGGTTATTTTTTTCCTCCCCTGAATGTTCTAGGGAAGGATTCTCATGGAAATGAATTACATGCTAGCATATGGTTCTGCAGAAGCTTCGTTGAGGTTATTATGGAAATTCAGTCTTCTTGAGATACTTCTACCAATTCAAGTATGGATTGTGATTTTAAGTTTGTTGCTTTGCTGGTTGGTCTCCTAAAATACAATTTTAATGTAACATCTTGCAGGCAGCGTATTTTGTTCAACAAGGTTTTAGGAGACGAGACAAGAGATCTAACATGCTTTTGGTAAGTTAATTTACCAGCTTTTTTTTATTACGTATTGATTTTATTTATACTTTAGGTTGTTCAAAATTTCTTGTACGTTAGGCACGAAACTTGGCACACACGACCACCTAGGCACGAGAGACTTGTGGGAGAAGACGGGACTTCAATCGGGTTCCCGGTTTGGGAGTTAGAGCCGGATTTCGGTCTAGGCAAACTAGTTCCTTAAGAAACTTGAATTCGAGGTGTTGACCCCCCAAAATCACCAAACGACGTCGGTTTAGCACGAAACTTGGCACACACAATCGCCTAGGCACGAGAGACTTGTGGGAGAAGACGGGACTCCAATCGGGTTTCCGGTTTGGGAGTTAGGGCCAGATTTCTATCTAGCCAAAATTATTTACTAAATTATTTTTGTAATTATATAGTAGTTAATTTGTTATGTTTTTGTGTAATTAAAATATTAACACCATTATATTGTCATTAATTATTTTTATTTTGTTAGTTTCAGATATTTTCTTAGTAGCAGTTTGCTTCTCGTAGAATGCGGACGTGTAAAGATTATGACCAACTTTTGTTTTTGTAACCCACGGAAGAATCATGACGAAAACTTTTGATTTTGATTTACATTATTTAGATTTGTGAACAACATTATGTATGTATTATGCGACATTATGTAGTGGGATAATTTTTATTGTTATAAATTTTTATTTATGTATTGTTATGAATGGAACAACATTATGAATTTTTATTATGTGCCAACTTTTGTTTATGTATGTATTTATATTATTATGTAATTATCAGTTTTTTTTTAGTTATTTTTCATTTAATACAGGTTATTTTCATATTTTTAATAATTTTAATGTAGTTTTTTTTTTTGAGATGGCAGCACACACACCGTCTCAAAAACAAAATTGAACCAGGGTTTTTTGCAACAGCACATTTACTGTCGCAAAAGATAGGGGAAATGGTTGAAAAGTAAGGCCTTTAGCAACGATGTTATTGCCGTCGCCAACAGTCCTTTAGCGATGGGATAAGGTGCTGTCTCAAATAAACTTTTAGCGACGGTATTTTTGCCGTCACAAAAAACCCTTTTAGCGACGGTAACACAATACCGTCTCAAAAAAACTCAGATTTTTACGCGTTATTTGCGACAGAATTTTGCCGTTGCAAAAAAGGCATTTTGCCGTCGCAAAAAAAAGGCGACGGCGTTATGCCGTCGCTAAAACCCTTTTGCAACCCCCTTTGTTGTGACCCCCCACTTACCGTCGCAAAAAGCTATTTACCGTCGCAAAAAACCTTTTGAGACGGCGTTTGGGGTATTTGCGACGGGGTTTTACCGTCGCAAAAAAAACAATTTTTTTGTAGTGTCATATTTTGTTCAAGTTTAAAACTCTACAACATTACAATTTCAGTACATCAATTTTAAACCTAAAACATTATTACAATTCTTTCAAAACTCACTTCATATAGTAAGAACAAATTGTGGCACGAGGGGAAAAAAAAAAAAAACTATGAAAAGAAAAACTGTGAAAAGTGATTATTTTTGAAATTATCATCATCTTCTTCTATTTTAGGTTTTCCCTTGGTGTAACTTAATACCTACTCAATCTCTCACCACATTATGAATTGTGTTTCACTTTTTTTTTTTAGCAATGATGATATATAAAATTGCTAAAAAATTAATCTGTGAGTAGTAACTGAAGGTATATAATAAAACGTTTTTCTGTTAAACTTTTTATTTATTTGTTTTGACTTTTTTTCTTTATATTTTTATTTTGGTGTAAGGGTTGTATAAATTACAATATAAGAACAGTGAATGCAGGCATGTAATAAAGTATTTAAATTTTAAACACTTTTGATTTATTTGTTTTGATTTTTTATTTATTTATTGTAGAGATTGTATGAATTGTAATATAAGCTATGATTTGCGGTCAAACTGGCTTCCTAGGTTGTTACCCAATACTTTTAGCGAGAAAAATATTTTCTTTTGCAATTTTTCTTAAATTTTACTCTTTGTTTTTTTTTTTTTTAAATTTGGTGTTCATGTTTGATTTTTTTTTAAGGATCATTGTAGAAACTCTTAATTTAAACTTCGGTAATTACTATTTTTGTACAAACTTATATTGCATGAATGGTTTGTTAAATGCAGTTTTAATATTTTTTTTTTTGTTTTTTATTTTTACTTTTATGATGAATTTTTTGGGAAAAAAAAATTGGTGCTTGTGACAAATTTTTAAAAATTTACTTTTTCGTTATTGAGAAAAATTCAAGCAAGCTTAATCTTATTTTAGTTTTGTCGTTTATTTCTTTATTTTTCTTTTTTTTCCTTCAATTTTTTAGATTCTTCTTGAATAAAAGGACCTCAAAAATAGGAAAAAAAATTAAAAAAAATTAGTCTAAGGTCCCTCTCCTATTTTTAATAATGAAAGATATTCACAATATTATTTTATGATGTCTAAGGTTCCTCAACCCTACATCCATATATCACAAAGAAATTTGACTCTCGCATATCAAATCTCATTTCTCTCTCTCTATATCTTCCGAGGCTCTGATGAACAAGATCAGAACTCTCGACTTTCAAACCAAGGACTCCCTCTAAGTCCTTGAGAACCGCGAAGTCACAATCGCTAATTCCGTCTCCACTGTGACGGTCTCGAATGGAGCAAAGATTGGACGTTTTCGGAACCCCCAGATCAAAAGGCCTTCTTACGGGAGAGTTTGAGAAGAAATAAGAATGTAAGCATATATAGATGCATATTCGTGTATATATATATAGTGTAGATATGTGTGTAGTGAGATATGGATTGAGGAAATTTTTTGATTTGCAGCTACGATTGGTGTTGAAGTTCATCCACTGGATTTCTTCACCAACTGTGGAAAGATAAGGTTTTACTGTTGGGATATTGCTGGGCAAGAGAAATTTGGAGTGGTTATTGGTAAGTTATTCCTTTTTAGTTTTGTAGTTTTTGGTGTTTTTTTGGTATATATGAAGAAATTAGCTGTTTATAATCATGATCATTTGTTTTGATCTTGTAGTCATAGTAAGTGTTGCTTTTTAGATGTTTATTTCATTGGAAAATAATATTATTTTGATCTTTTTCCCATGGCCTTTCAACTGTGGGTTCAAATACAAGTGCTGGCAATATGGAAAGGTTTGTCTGAGATTTTTTCTGGATTGTGAAGTCCAGAGAAATTATTTGGGTTGAGAGAATTTCTCTGGAAATATTTGTCTGGAAATTTCCTGTGGGTTGTGGAGTCCAGAGAAATTCTCTGAGTGAGAGAATCTCTGGAAATGTTTGTCCGGGAATTTCTCTGGGTTGGGGAGTCTAGAGAAATTTTCTGCACCGAATTTTCTCTGAATCAATGTTAAGGGACCTTAGACATTATGAAAATATTGAGTGTCATTTATACTATAAAATCTTAATATCAGGGATCTTAAAAAAAATTCCCAAAAAATTAATATGAATTTATTTATTTTAACTGAAGGAAAGAAAAATTAGGAAAAATGATAATGCTGTAAACAATTGCCAAACAAGGTGGATGCTCATATTTTCTATCTTTATTATAAAAGATATTTAAAAATAAATTTTCTAATTCAAAAATAAATAAATAATTGGGCCAAGTAACTCGTGAATTGGACAAAAAATAAAACAAATCTCTAAAGACTATGCTTGAGCCAAGAATTATTGGTATAAAAATTTATTCAAACTCAATTTTAGGCTAATTTTAGTATTTAACCTAATACTGTAACCCTCCAAACTAGCTTATTCCTATCACAATCTGAGAAACTACGATGTAATTTAGACATAAAGTTTAAATTTATTATTATTAAATGTTTATATTGATGAATCAATGAATTTTGAGATGAGGTGTAAGGCTAAGGCCAGAATATGACCCATAATTTTGAGCGATTCGATTTAGATTTTTTTTTAATATATGAAAGCTATTTTTTTATTTAAACTAATTTTAATTGATTTGAATTTTACAAAACAAATATATTGAGTAAATTTTACAAAATGGATAATGACGTACTTGGTTAGTTGACAAAATAAAATTACAAATTCATTAAGACGAAATGTAGATATATTTTATCATAAATATAATTTTTGCATGGGAATTAGTTAATGTTAAATTATTTTAATTTAATATTATAAACAAAGATTTATTTTTATTTAATTTCAAAATAGTTTTTAATTAATTATTTTAACCATGCATACCTGGGATAATACGCTAGTAGGAAGTGAAATAAAAAAGATTATTTGGTTAATAAACTTTTAAAATATAATTCAAAACTTAATTTTTAAAAAATTTTGTTTGGTTAACAAATTTTTAAAATGCAATTCAAAACTTAATTATCTCTCTCCTATCTCCTTTTCTTTTTATTATTATTAATAAATTAATTAATTATTTTCTCTCTCTCCTCTCTCCTTTCAAATTCTGCACATCAATCAATTAAATTTTCTCACTCATCTATTCAACTAAAAATAAAAACTACAAATCATTCCAAAATTATATTCAAAACTCGTAACTAAACAAATTTTTAACTTTCAAAACTCTTTTCATCAACTTATCTTCCAAATTATAACTCAAAACTCATTTTAAAAATTAAACCAATCGGAACCATACTTGCTTGGTATTTTTTTAATATTTTTTTATTTTTTCAAAATTAAAAAAATACCCACCCCCTTTCATTTTTGACAAATGCTAAAGCTGTGTTCATCAAAATGAATCTGAAAACATTTTTGAAATTGTTTGCTACACAAATTTAACCCATAAAGACTCATGTAAAGGCATAACCTTTTTGACATCAAAACCAAAGACTCAAGAAGCAGTAATCTAAAATTAAATTTTTTAAAAAAATAACTAATTTATAATACAATCTTCTTACTTTTTACCCTGTGTTAATCTTACACAAAACAATCCAAATGCTTTAAAATCAGGGTCAATGAACAAAACTAAGAAACAAGAAGCAAAAACACTATACACCCCTCAAGAACAGCAAGAAAAATACCAAAAACAGTCCTATGCAGCACCATTGTTGGTGACCCAAAAGCAATCATCACCGGAAACTGACACCGATCATCTGATGGATCTTCATCAGTCACCATAGCCAATCCAGAGAAATCACAGTCCCAACTGTTCTGATCATTCAACTGATAGTACATATTGAAAGCATAGGAAGCATTTCCTTTTGCACTAAGGTGATTACATGAGGACCCGTATCCCAATGCAGTGCAATCAGACATTGGTCCTGTTTGGTAGAATTGTGGGAAAGTGCTTATAGCTTATGCCTCAACAGCTTATAGCTTATAACTTTCAACTTAAGCTGATTTCCAGCTTATTCTTAAAGCATCTCCTGCCCCACTCAAAGAATAAGCTGATTTCTGACTTCCAAAAAGCTATAAGTTATAAGCTATAAGCTAAACTAAACCTATCAAAATAGCTTAAATTAAGCTGAAAGCGGAAATAAGCTGTAATTAAGCTCTGCCAAACAGGCACATTGTACATGCATAATCAATGTTTCTTTGCAGATCTTGCAAGTCATCCATGTGGGTTCAAAACACACCACCTTTTCATCATGTAATCCACCCCGGTAACCGCCGCAAGTCCCTTATTTTCTCGGGTACCAAACAGGTCCAATTCGTACTTGGGTTTCCCATCAAACTCAAAAATCCCCCAATGCCTTTCAAAGCAACCTGGGGCGATGCTCTTGGCATCCTCATCGATTAGGCTAAAGAGGTAAGCCTCAATAACGCCTTTTCTAAGTGGGTCCCATTCCCACTTAGGGCGTGCCGGACTAGACCTTGGTTGAATCTCTTGGCATTTTTCACATTGGCATTTGTGTCCCCATCAGTGGGCCACCCCACTTCCCCGACTAGAATCTTTAAATCGGGGTACCCTGCCTTAGTTAAGGACCATACTAAAGTGTCGAAATTTGCATCAAACACATTGGTGTATTCGTAATTGCCATCCCTAACAGTCTTATTATTAGTGTTGTTGGTATCGAAAAATGCAAAGTCAAAGGGGAAATAAGGGTTGCCATAGAGGCTAAGGAAAGGGTATATGTGGACAGTGAAAGGGGCATCATTGGAGTTGAGATATTGGATTACTTGGATGGTGATGTCCTTGACCTCGGGCCGGAAGTCACCAGTCGACGGGACGGGATTCGAGTACTGTGAGAAGTAGACATCAGCATTGAAGGGGATTGTGGCTTTGACTTGGGATCCGAGGGCGGCTTGGTTTAGGGCTTCTTGGATGTTCTTGAGGGCTGGTAATGTGAAGGGAAGGAAGGTACCATTGTATGTTTTGAGAAAAGGTTCATTTCCTACTGCAACATACCTGCAAAAATGGATACTGTTAAGGTGATTTAAATCACATCACATTAATCATTTACAAACACACACACACACACACACACACACATATATATACATACTAAAAATGTATAAATTACAAGAAGATGAACTTATTTGAGGTCGTGTTTTGAAAATATGAATTAAAAAATACAGTTTGGATTTCAGAAATAAGTTCAAAATAACTTACGTTAGAGAAATAATTTTTGAAAAAAACTCTGGATTGATAAATGATTATGTTTATACCATGATCCAAACACTAGACAGAAAAAAGGGAAAAAGAAAAAAAGAAAAAAAAAAGAAGGTAATATTCTTTGCACTTTGGTGATATGTTACTATCAATAAAGACCTGAGCTGCTATTTTAAGTATCTATAAAATGGACATTTAAGCCTAAGTAAAACTCAACTAAAAATGGAAAATGATTATGTTTATACCATGATCCAAACACTAGACAGAAAAAAGGAAAAAAAAAAATAAGAAGGTAATATTCTTTGCACTTTGGTGATATGTTACCATCAATAAAGACCTGAGCTGATATTTTAAGTATCTATAAAATGGACATTTAAGCCTAAGTAAAACTCAACTAAAAATGGAAAATCATTTGTAGGAAATGGCAAACCATTCAAAAGCAGATTGAGAAGGTAAACAAAAATATTTTGAGGTCCCAAACTAAGTGGGAAATTATTATGAACAGCTTGAATTCAACAATTATAAACCTCAATAATAATAATAAAAATATTTATTTAAAAAAAAAAAAAGAGTAAAAGAAAGAAGAAAAAAAGGAAGAAGAAGATAAGACCATTTCAAGAAAGAATACTCCAACCAAAACCAATTTAAAGTTTCTTAGTGTTGATAAAGCCATATATGTATATGTATATCTTCTGGACTTAAACGATACTCGTGATTTATGGATAACTGTAGGTATTTGGGTCTGTCTTGGGAAGGATCTCGTCATCAAATATATATATACACAGATAGACACATTATGAATTATACAATTGAAAGAGGATTGAAGAAACAGTGTGAAGAATTGGGTTTAAGAATCAAGAAAAGAGATGGGTTAGGGATAAAAAAAAATAAACTTGTTTGACTCAATTTGATGTTGACTCCAATGTAACTGTAACTAGCCACATAAGCCTAAGCAAACTCAACTAAAAAAAAAATTGATTTGCAGGAAGTAGAAAACCATTTAAAAGTAAAACAAAATATTTTAAGGTCCCAAACTAAACTAAGTGGGAAATTAGTCCAGAATAGCTTGAATTCAACAAATAAAAACCCAAAAAGAAAAGAAAAGAAAAAGTAAAAAAAAGAAGGAAGAAGGAAGAAGAAGATAAGACCATTGCATGAAAGAACCCCCAACTCCAAATGTTAAAACCTATCACCTACTTCACCTACTAAACCTAACCCACTACACCACTACCACCTCACCTACTCCACTAAACCCACTACACCACTACCACCTCCATTTCACCTACTCCACCTACCACCTCCACTTTACCTACTCCATACCTACTACACACTCACCTATTCTCTTCCCACATCCTCTCTTCTATATATAGGAATCATTGTAATATATCAATATATCAATCAATAATACAATTCTCTATTTCTCTTTATACATTAAATTTCTACACCATTACATACAAAACCATTGTTTATATGTAAATTACACAATTGAAATGGGATTGAAGAAACAGTGTGAAGAATGGATTTTAAAAATCAAGAGGAAAGATTAAATTGCATGTAAAAAAGAAAGAATAAGATGGGCATTGCATGAAAGAACCCCAAGTACTGATAAAGTTATATGTTTATAGAGATATATATGTGCATATTATATTTAGTGATGAGAGTCTCATGCACTGGGATTGTCTTTATAAATATATATATATATATATATCAATTATACACTTGAAAGGGGCTTGAAGAAACAGTATCAAGAATGGGATTCAAGAATCATCAAGAAACACAAATGAAGATTGTTTGGACTCGACTTGATATTGATTCCACCATTGTAACTATATCTAGTGACATTGGCATCAACCCAAGAGGCAGCAAACTCAGGGTCTTGGCTCATCGGCTCCAACATGAAATTGGGTATAGCCAGCATCACTTCAATCTCACTCCCAATCAGAGCCCCCAAAATCTTCTCATCTGCCTCAAACAACTTCACTTTATCAAACCCATTCTCCTTCAGCATTTCCACCACTTTCTCCGGCGGCAAGTGGTGTGTTGCCATGGTTCCCCAGTTCACTCCCACCCCACTATACCCACTTGGAACCGAGCTCAACAACACCAAAACCACCACCAAGAAATGATCATAATGAGGTCTTGGCTCTTCCATTTTGGCTAATTCTCTTTTATGTGTGTGAATCTTTGATGAGTTGTCTATGAATCTTTCTTGAATCAAGAGAAAGTGAAAGAAAGGAAAGGAAAGGAAAGGAAAGGGGAATTTTCTTGGTGTTTGGAGTGGGATTTATAGAGGTGAAGAAGAAGGAAAGCTTTTCTCTCTCTTTTTGCTGTCTCTCTCTCTGTGGAATTTTTAATGGTTTTATCTTTTAAGAAACTTCAAGGGTATGGTGAAAATTTTGGTTGGAGGGTGGAGAGAGAAAATGAGAGAGAAAAAGAATGGAAGATTCCTCTCTTAATGCGGTGAGTCAGTTATGTATGGTGCCAAAACACATGCAATTTTGTGCCCCAAAAAAAATTGTCAGTCAAGAGCTGTTAGTATTGAAGGTACATTCATCAAATGTTACCCATATTTTTTAGTCTGTTAAAATTAGAGAATAATAGAATAACTGTCCTTCATGTGTCCTTAATTACTTTTTCAGTATATACAGGGAAAAGGATTATCTGCATCTAAAATTTCAAAACAAAAAAATATCCAATGTATTTTTAGGCATATTAGGGATGCATTGGGTATAGAAGAATTGACATTTTGGGCATACAATGATACAATTTTGAGAATTGCAGACAGAATAGTGCATTGGATACAAGAATTTGAGATTAGGCATATAGAATTTTGTGTAAGAATATCAGATGAATTTTAATGGAAATTGTTAACTACTTAACACATTCAGAAATGGTTGTATGTTTCTTGTAAAGTGAGGTAGGTAAGGAATGTACAATCATGAAATGCATTGCTAATTAGTACCTAGAAATATAAGCCTGAATCTTGACCAGTTGGGCTAATTCTGAGGGCTGGCCTGTGACGAACTGTTGGTCGGCCCGACCCTTGAGCTCATTGGGCCAGGTTTGGGCCTAAAGTTTTGGCCCACTAGTCAACCCCACCCATTAGAAAAAAATCTTGCTAGTTTAGTTCAAGGGCAAGCTTGGACACCATTTTCCCAGCCTGGCACGATGTTGACATTAAGACCATCTTTTTATTGGGAGGAGAGAAGCTGGTGATTGGGTTAGAACTCAAGAGTTATGAAAGTTTATATCCACATTAAGGCCTCGTTTGGGAACCCTCCTTTTTAGCTAAAAAGCTAAAAAGTTACTATATTAGCCAAAAAGCCAACAACTCATACCAAAAAGTCAAAGATTCTCTTTTCTCTCTATTTTTTGCACATCTTTTCGTAAAAAGCCAAAAATCATCCCAAACATACTAGTTTTTTTTAGCTCATATTTTAGCCAAATAGCCAAAAAGTTACTAAATTAGCCTGTTCCCAAACGAGGCCTAAGGAATCAAATGGTAGGATAGGAGTGGAAGTGGGAGCAGAAGCGCAAAATGTACTTAGGTAATATCACTGTCATAGCTTAGTTGCAGGAATCGTGCAACCAGGTGACGAATTTTCGTAAGGAACGCGATTCCGTATTTCTTAGAAAGAAACGTATAAGAATCACGTTTCTGTAGAGAGAGAAACGCGATCCTGTCCAATATGGGATCGTTGGTGGCTATGAACAAAAACCCTAGCTTGTTGGTCAACAAAGAGAGAGGAGAAAGAAGGTGAAGAACCTGAAGGTCGTCTCTGGGTATATCCTGCTTCTTTGCTTCGTTTTTCTTCTTCTTTTATCACTTCGAAGGTCCTCTCTCTCTCTCTCTCTCTCTCTCTCTCTCTCGCAGATCGTCTCCTTCTTACTGATCATCATCGTCTCCTCTGCCTTCGTCTTTGCCTTCTCTCACTTGCGCTCTCTCTCTCTGTGACCTTCTGTCACAATATATATCTAATATAAGTAATATATATATATATAAGATAAAACATATATAATCTTTATATAAATATATACATAAAAAAAAAACATTTAACACATTATTATTTAATATATATCATATATATACATATAAATATATAATAAAAAAACATTTAATTAAAAAAAATAAAAATATTAATATATATAATCTTTATAATATATAAAAAATAATTAATGTGTATTAAAATAAAAATATTTATAAAAAAACTTCTAATGTGTATTAAAAAAATATATATATATATATTATCGCTCCCCAAGGCGCTCCCAACCTAAAAAACTTCTATCGGCTCACGCTTCCTCGCTCCCGCTCCCACCCCCGCTCCCGCTTTATGCAACTAAGTGTCATAGTTACAATGATATCTCAATCTTTAAGTGCATTATTTGTTTTAGTCTTTTCACTCACAAATAGGTAAAAATAGAAATGAGGAAAAACTCCTAGTTCTTCTTCACCAATTTTTTTAGTGACAAACACTATATGACACTAGTCCTGCCTAATTACCATGAAATAGAGTTGGGATCCAAATATTACAAAAAAAAAAAAAAAAAAAAAAAAAAAAAAATAGTTGGGACTAGTTCGGTTGGTCAAAACTCGTATATTTTACTAAAAGTTCAAAAATTCAAATCTTTTTATAAGTAAGACCCCCTCCCTAGACTTGTCTCTCACATCACATTGTTTCGCTAAGCCATCCAAGCTTGGTTAATATACTTGAGAGGCTCCTCTTCTCAAAATCAATCTTTTGGTTTGGAAGCTTTAACATAATATTAGGATTGGGTCTTGAGAAGTCTATAGTAGGTTAAATCTCCACTGAATGTATAATCTCTCACCTCTATGTCACCTCCATATGCTATCTGCCATGCATATGTGCGAAAGTATTAGGCTTGTCTCATATCATCTCTTGGTTTTGAGTTAGATATTTTAACACTACTTACAATTAAAAAAATAAAATAAAACCTTGATACCATTTGATTCATGACCACTAAATTTATAGACTATTTTTTACAACCTTTTTTCAAAGTTCTGTCAACTGCATGATCTGATTCTTTTCTTTTTCTTTTTCTTTTTTAAACCTTTAAAGTGGCAATGACATTAGTGTGAACCTGTGGAAACTGAGGACAAAGAAAAGGGCTGGACTTTGTTCGGAACCCAAGAAATTTTGAAAGACTACCATGACTTGGTTAGTTGGAGACTGACTTAAAAATTTAGAAAGAGGATTGAAGAGAATCCTCTTAAAAATGATAACCTTCCACCCTACACATACGTGTTTCCTTCTCATGCATGCAATTTTCCTTCCATTGTTTAATTTCTTATCCCTCTCCTTTTTGTCAAAAGAAAAGTTCAACTTTTTCTCTCTCTTAGGGTTGCCAAAAAAAAAGAAAAAAAGGATAGTCTAAAGGCTGTAATGCAAATTCCAAATAAGGATATACTGCCTTCACTAATGTTTATCTTGGTTCTCATTTTCTATTATTACCGAAAGTAAACCATCATTTGATTCCTCTAATTTTCTTTCTCTTGAACTTTGCTTTAATTTGATGTCATTCTTTAACTTCTGAATTGTGTTCGAATTTTGAATTTGTGGGGGAAAAAAAAAAAAGGGAAAAGTTAATGAAGAATAAACAATTTTTTTACCTTTTCAATCTCTTTTTATCTTTATATTTTCCTTCACAAATTTAAGCTTCAAACAAAAAAAAAAATCACTTTTTGTAATTAAGTGAATGTTATCCAACTCATTAATGAAGGTAAGAAAAACTACAATGTCATAACATATGTTTCTTGATTGAGCTAATTTTAGGAGTTTAAATTAAGAAAATGACAGCTTAAATGAGAAAAACGAAGATGGATAGAAGAAAACAAGTACTGATTGATAACATTGAAGATGTGAGCAAAGTTCAAGGGTGGCTCCTTATTTCAATCTGTGTCAAGAAATCAAGGACCTCCTTTCACGGGATTGGCAATGTTATCTTCAACACATTGGGCGCTCAGCAAATACCTATGTGGATATTTTGGCTAAAGAAGCTAGAGTTCTTCTAGCCTCTTGGCAAATCCTTTGACTACCTACATCTTCTATTATTCCACTGTTAGAGTTAGATAGGCAGGGGCTTAGATCCCACTGCTCTGTTTCTTTGTAATTTTCTTGGGGGCTTTGCCCCCCTTTGCAACCAAAAAAAAAGTTCAAGGGGCAAGATTACAATTTCAAGTCTTCCTAGTGAATGACCGACTTCCTTACGGAGTGATTTCCGAATTTGATTCTCATTGCTGCGCTATGCAACTTCAACAAATACAAATATGTGAATAATATTGCTTAGCAAAAGTTAAGCAAGGCTTGCTTAAATTACTGTGTTAAGATGAAGATGAGATGTGAAAGCATCTCATTTTACTCTAACCTCAGGTTAACCTAATGATTCATGAAAGTCAGATTACATCATTACACACCCTTTGGTTTCTTGATGTTGAAATGCATATTTGCATACAACCAAAAACTTTTATCCAGCATTTGATGAAGTTTTTTTTTTTTGTTGAGGAAATTCATTTAGATTGTATTTAAACCATGAGTTTAGGTATGGATCTCAAAAGAGAAAGTTAAAAAGTGAGTAAAATATGAAAAATAACTACATAATAAGTGCTTTTCTATTTTTTTTTTCCCCCTTTTTTGACCAAACTAGTTCCTAGTTTTTTTATTAAAAAAAAAATTCACAAAAACAGATTTTGAAAACAAAACCAAACAAAGTGACCTACTTAATATACTATTACTAGCCTTTTGTTTTGTGAATGCCCTAATGAAATTAAGAATGTACAAGAAAAGGCATCACACTATTAATCACTTTATCTATTACATTTACTGTGTATTTACTGTGTGAATACACATAAGAAGCCAAAAAAAAATGATGAAATCTACCTGATGAAGTAGCCTAGACAACCTCATGACTGCAAATTTAGCAAAATTCAAGACAACTCAAAATCACCCTCCCCTAATGGAGGAAAACTATGACGACGTTCCAGTCAGCTTGAATCATTTAGTCAGGCCTTGAATTAGAAAGACATCCTCTCATAACATAAGTCAATCCAGAAATAAATTGATTAGAAACAATCCAGGTAACTCATTGATTTGTTTGGTACCTAAATACAATTCATTTAAAAAGTTTACTATATCGTAAATTTATGACCGAAATTTATTCACATTTAATCACAAGAAAAACTTCAATTAAAAAATTTCAAACTCAATCAAATCCTCTTTTTGATGATTGAATGCATGTTCCCATATTTACTAATTCCCAAACTCTTTCTCTCCAAGATCCCAATACTTTTGATAATAATTACCGCAAGAGAGTTCATATAATTACAGCACACAACATCCCCATAGTCTTTTTATGCAATTCCAAGTGGAAAGTCCATCAAAATTAGAAATTGCACAACAGCAAGTGCGCAAACAGTTGATTGTATAAAACTCGAAGAATTTATGAGCATTTCACTCCACACACACACACACACACACACACACATATATATATATATTAGGCAATGTTGTGAACTTGTATGATTATATAATGCATAATCAAACTATACTAACTAAACAAACAAGTTTCATTGAACATTGACTTGAATATATGGCAAAGCATTGCATACCCATTTAGAATCCGAGCGGCGACCTTGCACAGTTCACGAGGGGTTCGAATTGCTCACAACTTCAAATTCACATCAAACTTGCTTTCATCCAAAATTTCACTCTTCATAGATTCAAAACTCAGAAGCTTTCAAGCCACAACATTCAATCAAAAAACACAATTAATTGCAGATTCAATGGTTCCCGAAACCCTAGCACAAATATATAACGGGTCGTTGGAGGTTTTCCCCAAACCCGATACCAAACTCTATGACCGGACCCAAATAGGCTCCGATTACTACATAAACATCCAGGTTGCAACATGGATAACAAACACAATTCAGATTTTTTTTTTTTTTGCCCCTTTCTATAAGGGTGTGTTTGTTTAGACGGTTTTTTTTTTTGCCCCTGTGTGTTTGTGTAGACGGACGGGATATGGGGATTGTAATTCATCGGACTATTACTCTCGGAATATATTTAGTGTGTTTGGTTTAAGTTTTTTAGATTATGTTTTTGATTTTCTTTTGTTTTTAGTGAATATTTTTTAAATTTTAAATATTTTTTTTACTTTTTTAGATGTACCTTAATTAGATGTATCTAAAAAATAAAAAATTATGAAAAAAATATTCCATTACTCTCGGAATACATTCAGTGTGTTTGGTTTGAGTTTTTTTGATTATGTTTTTTGAAAACTGTGTTTTTTGATTTTCTTTTGTTTTTAGTGAATATTTTTTAAATTTTAAATATTTTTTTTACTTTTTTAGATGT